CCCTTGGCATGAGAAACTGAACTTAGAAAGCCACAACACAAAAGCACTCCGGAAGCTGGTCAGCGCTGAGACCAGCTATCTGCTGTGGCACCTGTCCTGTTCTTCCATCTGCTGAGTGGTACAGCAGGCTTAATGGGGAGAGAGGGAGTTAAAGAAAAGGAAGGCAAGTATCTTTGAAGGCAAGCAGATTTATAGGTCATTCCCTCCACCCCATTACCAAACTGTGCCCCAGACCCCACAAATCACAGTATAAGCCAGATGCGGACTTTTGCATGACTGAGCATAAAATTTGCCAAATGTGGCATGGAATGTGCTCAGTGCCTCAGTATCTGGGTGAGGAAACCCAGCTCCAGAGTGAGAACCATCTTAACCAAGTTCACACTGATTTGGTTTCTAGAAGAGTCTAGGATTTCTAACCCCAATTTAGGCCACAGAGAGCCAGGACCCAGACTCAAAGAGGAAAAGGACTGAAGACCAATATCGACATAAACAATTTGGGTACACACTTCTCCCCCATTTCCTGTGTCAGTGGTCTTTAACCTTGGGGCCATGAATCCTCTGAAGGTAAAGATGTGTACATATGTATATTTCTCAATCATCTCAAAACTGTTTAGAACCACTGACTGGTCTGCATCTTTGTTGCCTCCTTGAAGTTTATAAAGAATCCCCAATATGGTTCTGTCCTAAATGTTTTTACATGGGCCATTGCCTGGTCCAGACATGAGCTCACCATATGGTCTTGAACTAGGCCCTTAACATTTTTGTACCTCATTTGCCTCATCTAAAAAAATGCAGTTAATAAATAATTTAGTGCCTCCTATTTAAAGCATGTGTTGGACTGAAACAAAGAAGGGGAATCAGGTGTACTGTCATGTCCCCTCTGGGCACAGTGGCCAGTAACCCTCAGCCCCTCCCACAGCCTCTGATTCAGACTGTCTATACAGGTGACACTGGAGACAGGGAAGTGAGGGGGTGGTGGACTCTCCTCCAGGAGCCCACAGGCTCTCCAGAGGCACCTGCTCCCAGGGAATGGGGTGAGCCACATTCTGCACCATTCAGCTTTATCAGAGCCACTGCCCTGTAATATGCAGATGGGCCAGTAGAGTGAATCAGAAGAGTCTGGGAACTTTTATGATCTGAACAAAGGAGATAGTTATTTGATGGGAAGGGGGGGGGACATGTCCTGCACACACCTGACTCTCTTCTGCTGATCCTGTGTAATTATACCCTGGCTCCCAATGACAGCTGCAGAAATTTAAAATCTTAAATCTCAGATGGCATTCAATCAGATTAGCCCCAGTCTTGCTGAAGGGCTGGGGATGGTTACAGAAACTATTTAGTCACCTAATCTTAAGATTTAGAGTGAGACAATATCCCCAAAACTGTCCAGGCTACAACCCCAGATACTGAACCACTAGGTTGATTTTTGAGGACTCAGACCCCAAAATACCCCCACTCTGCACCTAGGAAAAGATAGGCTTTCTAAGGTCATTCAGCCACCTGGCTAGGCCACTGCCACCCACAGAAAACAGAAGACTAAGTGGATTATAAATCATAACCTAATCAAGGAGGAAGAGACCCTCTCCCCCACTCTCCCTACAGACATTCATCCACATACTTACAAAGTCATATAGATGCCTGGGCAAATCATTTATGACCACATTTACAGTATCACAGAATATCAAAGCTGCATTGGACCTGGATTGACTTCTAGTCTACCTTTACTATTTTAAAGATGATGAACCTGAGGCCAGAAAGATTCAGGGGCTTGACTGAAGTCACACCTCTTGTTTGGAACAGAGCCAAATCTTTGGGCCTCTGTGTAGTCTACTGCATCCCAGTGATTAGAAAACCATAAGAAAAGAGAGTGCTGGGGGGAGAGTAGAGATGGAACAAGAACTGAGAGAATTGAGAATGCTTTGTGAGGGATTTAAGTCCTGAACAGATTCAGATGACACTAACATTCTATAAGTAGCCTGATGGCTCTAAGAGTTGGTGCATATGTTCTCGAATTTATTCCTCACAAGGAATCTGTGAAATAATGTTATCCCTTCTCAACAAGAGGAAATTAAAGCTCTGAGAGGCTAAGTAGTTTATCCAGTATTACACATACTTTGTAATTGAGTCAACTCCAGGTCAGGGGGGGTCCTGAATCCAGTTATTTTCCCATGCATCACCAAAGCTTGTCTTTGACTCTGAGGAGCTGACATGACCAGTGAGTAGGTACTTAAATGAGGGAGTGCTAAGTGGGATTTTACTTCTTCATTTGAGACTTCCAAGATCTTCAGAAATTGGAAAGGTGTGTTAATTTTCTATTGCTGCTGTAACAAGTTACCATAACTTTAGTGGCTTAAAATAACATAAGTATATATTATTTTAGAGTTCTGGAAGCCCAAAGTCTGACACAGGTCTCTCTGAGCTAAAACCAAAATGCCAACAGGACTCTATCTCCTTCTGTAGGCTCTAAGGAGGAATCTGTTTGCTTGCCTTTCCCAGCTTCTAGAGGTTGTCCACATTCCTGGTGCCTGGTCTCCATCTTCAAAACCAACAATAGCCAATCTTTCTCACCTCACATCACTGTGAAACGGACTCTTCTGCCCCCTTTTACACATTGAAGGGCCCTTGTGATTACATCGGACCCACTTCAATGTCATCAGCTCACTGTGAGGCAGAGATAGTCCTTTGAGAGAAGTTGAACTCTGGCCTCTTCCTAACCGCATTACCTCCTCCATGAGAACATGGCCTGCTTTCCTCATTGTTATACATATCCCTATTTGGTCTCCTCCTGAGTCTCAGCCAAAGATACAGAAATGCATGGGGCACAAGCAAGGTCACCTTGTGCCTCCTATTGTAGAGAACTTCTGGAAATCTCAACCAAGCAGGCTCTCCCCCCAGCCTCCCACCCACCACTTTCTTGAGTCAGCCCCAGGCTCTCCTCTCAGTTGGGTTCTAGCAGCACTCCTTCTTCCAGGCACCTGCAATATCTTTGCCTGCCCTTCTTGCCTACTAATTCTTACTTTCCAGCAAAACACAGAGCAGACATCTCCCTCAGGAGCCTTCCAGGACCTTCCAGCTATCCAAGACTCATAAAAGGGCCTTCTTCTCAAGCATGGGGGCTTACTTTTGCCAATATTCTCCATGAGTCCACAGTCTCAGAACCATGAAAGACTCCAAGCAGAGCCATGAATGACTAAAGGGATGAATAAATAAACCCAGTGATGGAGAATTTCTTGTCTCTTAGAACTCCAGAGAGTCATCTTGTTTCTTAGACAACATTTCTTACAAAAGATGGAGGAGATGAAGAGGGAAAGGGGAAATGGAAAGAGGAGATGAAAAAAGAGAAGAAAGAAAAGGAGGAACCCCTTACCCCCCATCCTATACTTGATCACCCAGTTCCCAGATTCTCCAAATGACCATGCCCCTTCAGATATACCCATGGATCTTCCAAATCCTTCTCTTCATCCTGCATAGCTCCACTCTCACCCCCGTCCCCAGCAGATCATGTGCCTCATAATAACATCAGCATGATTCTCCTAGGCCTACCTCTGACCCCTCCCACCCTGGGCACCTGCCTCTTACAGGACACTGAGGGGGCCCATGCTGGTGCTACATCAATCCTCTCTGCACAAGTCCTAAAGACCAAAATGTCACCTGATCTTCCTCAGCTCACCTTTTAAAAACTATTTTGGGGATCAAGCATGCAAAAATTGTATAAACCTTTAAAGGAAACTCTGATTTTAGCCAAACACTTTTTCTTAGGAAATGACCTAAACATACTTCTTCAAGTTAGAGGGGCCCATCATCTTTAAGTCCCTGGGGTTTTATCAACTTTAGCAAACAAGAAAAAGGCCCCACTTTGTGCTCTAGGGGCTTTTTCATCCTCTAATACATGAGATCCTCCTCTACTCCAGCTGTCTCCTACATTTACCTTAATTATTCCTTAATTAATGCATTCACTGCATTAATAGTCATTAATCTTCCATTTTCTAGCCCCTACCCTCTAGAAACCTACAACTGAGGTAGCAATAAGATCTTGTATTTAAATAACTAGGATTCCCAATAACTATAGCAAATATCATATAAATAGCACCAACAATAACCAGTATGGGAGTTCAGAAGGAGGTAAATTTGTTTCTGGTTTAGGGTAATCAGCAAAGGCTCTTGGAAGGGGGTGGACTTGAATTGAGCCTTGCAGTATGCTTAGGGTTTCACAAGTCACAGAGAGAGAGGGCACCCAAGACAGAAGTGGCAGCTCACACCGAGGTTTGGATGTAGAGAAAACTGGGTGTGTTTGCTTTTACACTTTTCCTTTCATCCCCCTGGCTTTTATTGACCTGAGTTCTGAGAAGGCATGGAGGCAGACCAACCTTGCCATATCCTGTTTTCTTGGTCACTGTGAAAACTCTGTAAATCCACTTTTAGAAATGACATAAATAAAAATTAAGAAGATGAAGATTACCTGTCTTCTCCTTTTCCTCTTCTCCTTCACCCTACAAGTAACAAATGAGTCCAATTTCTCTCAAGCCTTCTATGAGGGAAAATCACTCTCTTCAGGAGGCTGTAGGGCCTTTGTGCACTTGGAACCACAAGACAACCCATCTTCTTTGGGTCAGGAAGTGTGACTTACCAGGCCCAATGAAGAGGTATCCAGAGGAAATGTCCGAAACAGGCCATACATGTCCTTGACACAGACAGACCCTAGGCCTTAGACATAAATCTCCCCATTGACGAAAGCAAGATGAATAAGGTGGATCTTATCTCTCACCACATCCTGAACCACTTTGGACAGACAAGGAACCCAATACCAGTTTAACAGACTGAGATAACGTTTTATGAACATTCTTTTGCTGCTACCTTTAATGAGAGAGATCTAAGAGGAGCCCCTCCCTGCTGAGGTCTGGTGAGGACCCAGCGGCCCACATGGAGGCTGATTAACAGGCTTCCCAAGCAGTGACTCAAACCATGGGCAATTTCAGAGGAAGCTCGTTATGGTGACTCCACAATTAGAACATTGTCCCATGTGACCAGTCAGTTCTGTAGGAGGCAGGACCAGGCACTATATAAAAGCCCCTACCTTGTCGGGCCCTGCAATCCACATCCTTTGTGGAGTCTTGTTGAAGACAGGTAAGTGGAGACATCTGTGCCCTCTCTCCCTCTCACTTCCTGCTCTACCTTAAGGAGGCTGTTCTCTTCCTCCATTGGGCTTTATACTTTCCACTGATTTTTAGTGGTTTGCCACTTCCTGGGCCTTCCACTCCATCCTGTGTATTCCATTTAGTATCCTGCATCTGATTTTCAAAAATAAATTGTCAAATAGAGGAGAAGGGAAAACCTCTGGTAGAACTGTGGTGTCAGGTAGGATTGGGCTATGGGTATCCAGACAAGAGCTATGAGAATATTCCCAGTTAGGAGATGGGTGTCAGAGGGAGCTGACCTAGGGATAGAAAAGAGAAAAGAATAAAAAACAGCAAACAAATAGGTTATTAGGGTTAGTGATCATTTACTCCCCATTTCCCTCTACTAACCCTTCTTTCCCAGTTCCCAGCCTGATACTGTTAATGCAATTAATTTCAAATCTTGTGTTTGTTTCAGGTTCTGCTACCTACCTTAAGATGTCCTTTAATGAACAGCAGTGCAAGCAGCCATGTGTGCCTCCTCCATGTCTTCAAAAGTCCCAAGAGCAGTGCCAGGCAAATACTGAGGAAGTGTGCCTTCCCCCATGCCAGGACCCCTGCCAGGAGAAGTGCCCAGTGCAAGTTCAGGAGGTTTGTCTTCCTCAGTGCCAGGGATTATGCCAAGAAAGTTGCCCACAGCAAAGCCAAGACCAATGCCCATCTCAGTGTGTGGAGCCATGCCAGGAGCTATCTCAGACAAAATGTGTGGAAGTTTGTCCACAGAAAGTCCAGGAGAAGTGCTTGCCCCCTGGCAAGGGAAAGTAACTTCTCATAATGCCATCTGGGGTCAAGAAGATGGCCAACAGATGAAAACCCAACCCAAGCTCATGCTATGGTAGCCTTCACCTGTGGATACCTCTGTGTGCACCTTGTTCTTGCCTCCTGGTTTCCTCAGTATTCCAGGACCAGGTCTGTTGTCTCTGAAGACATTTCTCTCTGTATTTCATCAGTCTTTGTGAATAAGTATTGTTCACAGCAGTCTAATAGAAGGTTGCCATCATAGGAATAGTGCAGTTATAAGGGGAGACCACAGAAGCCTAGTTCAGCTCCCTTGGGGCACAAACTTACCCAGCCTTGAGTGTGTAACAGCCAAGGATGCTTTCGTTCCTCATTCAGAGTATCAGCCTCTCACTCAAGCCTCAAAAAAAGCTGAAATTTGATGGACCTTGTACGATCACCACCACCACCACCACCATGAATACAGAGAAGAGGTTGGTGGTACTACAGAAATAAAAAATTGAATCATTTAGTCTCTGCATTCTAAAAAGGAACAGCAAATTATTGGACATTGGAATGTTAGTTCTGCTTTTAAAAATAAAAAAAATACATATGTAAATGGTTGAATCTAAACAGGACAGATGAGATAGGATGTCTGGGATCCTGGTTGATCTTTGTGCTTGATGTCTGGTCTGCTTTGGGCCCTGTAATTTCACGTACATTCTTTAGACATGTGATTTGTGTCTGTGTGGTGCAGCCTAGTCTTCTCTTCAGCTTCATTGCTTTCTTCTCCCTTGTGAAGGTAAAATACAGAATAAAGCTGATCCCAAGGCTGATGTCTGACTTAATGTGTGCTCTTTCCTTCCCACCACCCAATCACAGGCCATCCTTGTGATGATTTTGTTCCCCCTTTTATGGACAATCTGGAGTAGGAATGAGAAAGAGACCTTACAGAAGCATAGAACAACAATGTTGACAGAGGCTCCATGACAGAGGATCACCTGGACTCCTCCACCCTCCCCCACAACACATCGTGGGCTCATGTATACACACACTTCACACCTGGGAGAATCCAACAGGGCCTGGGACCTGTCCTCAGAACTTTAGGTCCAGAATTCTTGCTACTATGGGTTCTCTCCTCTCTGATACTTGCCTTCAGAAGAAAGGTCTCAGATGGGGATGAGGAGAGTTGTATGGAAGAAGGGGTCCCAAGTGAATCCATGACACCTTATAAACATAGCATCTTTGTCAGAAGCAAGAATTAAGCATGCCTCTGAGATAGAGTCTGAGATAGAGAAATTGCCCTGCGATCCCAGTCTTAAGAAGAGCCAAGTCAGCCCAGGTCACCTCCCTGCCCCATGTAGTCCACTTCCCCTTACTGAAAGGGTCCAGCAGAAGCAAGACATATGAAAGAATACATAGATGCTTCCTCAGTGGTGCCCCAAGGTCTAACTTGGACCCTTATGTCAAGGGCCAGTCTCCTGAGAGCTAAAGGAGCCCCTCACTCACCCTCCTAGGTCCCTCTTCTGAGTCAGCCCATAGGGGTGTGCCCAATGGAGAGCTGCTTGGCTGACCTGAGGGTCTTGCAGCACTGGAGTCAACCCGGTCTCTTAATCTTAGAGATTTTCTAAGGCAAGAGATGAGGGGTCATGGGGCAACTTGGGGAAAGATTTCAAACAGCAACACAAAGCCCTGAGGACTGCCTGAGTCTGCAGATGTCAAAAATGGACCCTGATCCCTATGCACATTCTCGGAGGGAATCCTGGAAGCAGGGTTCATGTGTTGCCCTTTTATTAAGGAACTGGTCTGGCCTCACAAAGCAAGTAACTGGTGAAGTCAAGATTCTAACTGGAGTCCTTCTTTACTCCAGAACAGAGCTCTTACTTGCATGAAGTGCCTATGGCACACAGGAAAGATTTCTGGGGCTGTCTGCACATTCATTCATTTATTCATCCACCTACCAAGTGCCACGTGCTATGCCAGGTGCTGGAGAACAGACAGGCAGCATCCCTGCGCAGGGCTAGAGAGCTTCTTTCCACAATCCACAGAGGGCCTCTCCAAAACCTGGATATCCCAAGTCCCTGAACATCTCCAGATGCCTGAATCACACGTTTTTTTTTTTTGCCTCTCTACTTGGTTGGAATAAGTTTTCTCTTCCATTTTCCAACTTTGGAATAAGACTGTTCCCTCAGAGCCACAACCTACAAAGAGGCACCAGAGAACCTTCCTAGCAATAGCGTCTCTGACTGGGCTGAGGGAGGTTCATGACACTTCTCCAGCCTAGCTGAAGACCAAGAAACGTCTTTGTCTTCCAACACTAAAGGCATGCACCCATTGGAGTCCAAGATGGGACACTAAGATGTCAAGAGGAAGCATGGGGCTGACAAGCAGAGAGCCCAGCAATATCAAAGAAAGGACAGCTCTATGATTATATGAGAGGCCTCAGTAGATGGTAAGGAGACAACCCTACAGATTATACATGAGAGAACAAGCAAGCCTTCATCAAACTCTGCCATGAAAACCACCACACCTTTCTCATGCTCACAGAGCTCTGACCCAGGCCCTACCCACAGTGTTACTTTGGAGTCAGGACCCTAATGACATAGATCTGGACATGGGACAGCTAGGACCCACCTCTTTGTATCTGTGCTGAAGCTTTCAGAAAGAGGGAGAGGGACATTACCAAGGAGAGTCTGGATTTAGAAGTTCTAGTTGGTAATCACTAAGGAAAAAAACAAAAATGGAGGCCATAGTTTGAAGACCAAACACCTACAGCCACATAACTGAAATTTACAATTACCTTGATTTCCCCCCCAAAATGTGGGCTCTGACTGTAAATGAATTTAAATTTTCCTCATATCAGCATGACCTTACAGCTTCCTTAGCCAATTGGTTATAAACAAGTAAGTTTATTTATCACTGTTCCCCTAAAAGGAATGTAGGTGTCTAGTGGTCAGTCATTACTAGAGATCAATGTACTTCATTGGTCAACTGAGCTGTCACACTCATTTTGTGTGCTTCTTGCCACTTTCAGCTTGAAATCTTCCAGTTTTGTGAACTGTTCTTTTGTTCTTTTCTCTAACTTGATTTGGTCTCAGTTTTGACACAGTTAACTCAGTATGTGACAAGTGCGGACCTATGGGCTCCACAAGTCAAGAGGAAATGTGTCAAGAAAGCATCAGTGGACATTTATGGAGAACCTGCTTTGCGCAAGACACTGTACCAGGCTCTGGAGGCCCTGGTGGGAGGGACCTCCCATGTGAAGACTTTCATATTAGAAACTGGTGGAATATATTTAGGCTAGAAAACACCCGAGGGAGCAGGAGGGCTGTTCTCAATATTCTAAGTGGGTTTTTTTTTTTTTTATGTTTATTAATTTTTGAGAGAGGGAGTTTGAGCAGGGGAGGGCAGAGAGAGAGGGAGACACAGAATCAGAAACAGGCTCCAGGCTCTGAGCCATCAGCCCAGAGCCTGACGTGGGGCTCGAACTCACGGACCGCGAGATCGTGACCTGGCTGAAGTCAGACGCTTAACTGACTGCGCCACCCAGGCGCCCCAATATTCTAAGTGTTTTTATGAGAAAAGGATTGGATTTCTGTGACGTTCCAAAGGACACAGTTGGGACCAATGGATAGAAGCTATGGGTTTGGTTCAGCCAAAGGACACAGTTGGGACCAATGGATAGAAGCTATGGGTTTGGTTCAGCTTAAGAACTTTCTTATGAGATCTGTTTGCTGGTGACAGGAGCTGTCCTTAGATGTGTCACATTCCCATGAGTTGGAGGTGATCAACTAGAAAGTGATAGCAAGTGTGAGCACTAGGCCTCCTTCTAACCTGTCTGGCATAAGATTCATCTAACTCATCTAACTCTCCTGAGCAAAATTGGGACCCAGGGGCAGAGGACCTTAACAGTACAGCAAGAATCAGAGGATCTGACCCTGAGGTCGAGAGACAGAACATTACTCTGGCCTCTAGAACACCCCTGGGAAGCCCTGGGGACCTGGGAACCCTGGGGACAGTGTGGATCATGGCTTGATGCTAAAGGAAAGGAGGAGGATACATAAGTGATGGGACGTGCCTCCTCCCATGTGTTTTGGGGCCCAAACACTTCATCCTTGAGTGGCACTTTACGGAAATTCCTCACTAACTTCCAAATCCAATTTTCCCAGTCCAGGTTTAGAATACCTCTCCCTTTATTCCTTGCTTCTTTGCCTTCTGGACCTCCTTTCTCTCCTGGGCCAGGGTGGACCATCTGTTCCATGTGCTTGTGCACCTGATGACCCATCGTGGCCTCCTTTCCATTTGCACCTGCCTCTCTCCCTCTTACCCAGGATTCTCCCTCTGCTTGTGTCTTTCAGCCCATGGGTTTCAAACTCTCCTCCTCCAGGAAAGCTTCCATGTCAAGGAGCCAGCAGGTGTACCTGCACAGGTTCCGAGGGGTCTATTACACCCTTGCAGCTACCTTATATGTAATTACCTATATCTCCTGTCATCATGAGAGTCCTAGATGACAGCCCTTGAGCCTCACTCTGCTTTTTGCCTGTCTTCATGGGACCAACTACACTGAAGTCTTAGGTATTCTCAGAGTCGGCCAACCAGAATGTCCTTTGAGTCAGAGAGGAAAGAGGCTTTTTTTGTTTTTAGGGTGACCAACCATCATGGTTTGCCTGGGACTGAGGGGGTGTCCAGCATGCAGGACATTGGGCTAGTCCAAGACAAGTTGGTCACCCTGACTGTGTACCTGTGTTAGTAGAGAAGATGATGCTTGGGGCTGTGGGAGCATAGAGGGAAAGCAAATGAGAATTCTGGAGGAGTTCAAACCCCAAGGTTGGAAGGGGGAGAACTCTCTGGAAAACTATGTGTGTACCGAGAAGGCTTAGTGACCACTGCCTGCCTTCCTCCACAGCTCCATTCTGTGTGTGTGTGTGTGTGTGTGTACGTATGTATGTTGGGTGAGGGACACTAGACCAACAGGCAGGTCCCTAGGTTAGCCTTGTACAGGCACAAACTGTCAGGTACTCAGCCAGAGAGTTGGGGGACATCCTCATGCACCACCCCCCTGTCCCCACTACCGTCATTAACATCAGGACACCCTGACCAGTAGGTAGCAGGTCTGGACTCACCCACTCCTGTTTTTCCTTCTCTCCCATGGACACTTGCCTACCACCTAGTGGTGGCTAAAAGAAGAGAGGGCTCCCCATCTCCCCCACGCCCAACCAGTCTCAGAACCAACCAGCCCTCCTTTAAAAGCCCTGAGGACTGCTTTTCTCTTCCCAACAGCACCACCTACTGACCACAGAGACACTGGGCCTTCCATGGGCCATACCAAGCCTGGCCACATGTCAGAGATGGCTGCACTTAGGATTGGCCAATGCTAGGTGCTGGTGCAGGCAAAAGCAGAGATGTAGCATCTAATAGAGCAGTAGGAAGGCTTAATGTGCAAGATAGAGTTAAATAACGTCTGGAGTGGGGGCAATAGGCATGGTGGTTCAGGACATAGGCTCAGGAATCAGACTGCAGGGATTCAAACCTAGACTTATTACTTCTGTTCTTTCTTTAAAAAAATAATTGAGAGCCTTGTTAGTGCCGAGCATTGTTGCAAGCACTGAAGATACAACAGTGACCTAGATGCATAGAGTTCCTGCCTCCCAGAGTCTATGCAAACAGGAGACAGACAAAAACCACCTAGGCAAATGCATAAAATTTAAAATGTAGGAAATAAAACAGGGTGACAAGACACTCTTCAGTCAGATAGTCTGGAAAAGCATCTCTGAATAGGTGACATCTGAGTGGAAACATGAAGGACACAGAGAAGCCAGCCATGCGGGAACTAGGG